CTCTCTTCCCCGTGTACACCGCAGTAAAAGTTTGACCCATGTTGGCCCCCGTGTCTCCTCCTCCTCCTATTTTTGTTGCCATCGGGTATCGAGGAGCTCCACCTCCTCAGCCATCCAATGATGAGCTCTTGTCTCCAATAAAAATGCAGCAAAATTCCAACTAGATGCTGCAGAATCTCATGGTCATGACATCGCTTGATGCAACACTTTCGGAGCCATCGTCATCTTCCTTTGTCATCGTCAGTGCAACGAAGGTTTTTGGATTATCCCCATTTTTGTCTCTTTGACAGTCGCGCCTCGAGAAAGATTCTCTTAACCTCCAGCCCTGTAGTAGTCAAAGTCTGGTATCTCCAAGAGAGATGCGGGAGGGCAGATCCTAATGAGGTGGGGCTCTCGGATCTCCAAAGGCGACGGAAATAGGAGGAGTATGAGGAGCCAAACTTTTACTACGGAGTATACGCGGGAGTGAGAAAAGCGGACATACATGGGCTTAAGGAATCAACGGGCAATGACAGAGATCCCGTCACATCTTTGCATCTTGCCAATCAAAGAAGAGAGTATAGTAGGATGAGAGATAATTAGCCAAAAGTGAGGGAAAACTAGTCTCTTTCCTTATCAAATACAATAGAGATGCATATAGTACATGCTCAAGCGAATGATAATAACTAATAATAATATTAGTTAATATATAATTTCTACTAATTCTATTTAGTAATTTAATGAATGGACTGAAAGCTTACTATTCACCTGGCGGAGATGGTGAAGACCTAGACTTTGAGAAACTTCCTATCTTTGTTGATCTTGTCATTGAGGTGTAATATCTTCTGTTTCATGAAAGTATGGATAGGTTAGATGGCGGAAGCATTGATTTGCCCTGCATTTTACTTAACTAAGGCCAAACTTATACTTAGATTTAGATGTTTTGGTTACTTTTGTTAATGATGTGGTTTCAAATTTCACCTAGTTACATATTTCATATGCGACATATTTTTCAAAGCTCACTATCTGCAGATAATGAGATCAGAATCCAGAAGATCTTTTGGATGTAAGATGAATGAAATTTAGGCTCAAGTAACGTATTTGTTACTTTGATTTCTGGAAACTTCCTATCTTTGTTGATCTTGTCATTGAGGTGTAATATCTTCTGTTTCATGAAAGTATGGATAGGTTAGATGGCGGAAGCATTGATTTTCCCTGCATTTTACTTAACTAAGGCCAAACTTATACTTAGATTTAGATATTTTGGTTACTTTTGTTAATGATGTGGTTTCAAATTTCACCTATTTCACATATTTCATATGCGACATATTTTTCAAAGCTCACTATCTGCAGAGAATGAGATCAGAATCCAGAAGATCTTTTGGATGTAAGATGAAGGAAATTTAGGCTAAAGTAACGTATTTGTTACTTTGATTTCTGGATTTCTGGATTTCTGAAGAACTATAGATTTCAATTTCTCCAAGTTAGTAGTTTTATTTATTATATTTAAATTGTAGCATGTTCAAGTTGAAATGCATACATAGCTCTACTCATTATTTTGTCAACGTGTTTAAGATAATTTTTCTAACTTAAGATAAAACATAAATTTTTTATGATTTTGTTGTTGTTGGATTATGTATATCCCAGTCTCCATTCTGATGGTACTGGGACTAGCGCATATTACCCAGTTGGTTTCTTCAACTTTGGACTTCATTTGGTCGCCCATCTTTCTGCTATTTGACTGGAATATCTCGGTTATTCAAATAGTGATGCATGACATTCCTGCTCCACGATAATAAAAAGAGGTAAACTTTATCCAATCGGTCTGCACCTTTCAGTTATGACAAGGTGATCACGAATGATTTAGTCATGTTTTGATTTTCGGTACTATGGTATACTAAGTCAACGCTTATGTAAGAAGCTATCTATCTTTGTTACAAACTTACCATCCTTTATGTTACTTTACTCTGTCCCCTGCTCCCTGCTTTATCAAAAATTACCAAACATGTGACAACTGAAGTGGCATATACTTCTCTACTGCGTTCGACCGCGACCACGAAGTTGAGTACAGTACATACGCGAATAAAATCATATACGAAATCGTGTACGATACTCGTATATCAGTGACGACGGACCTGGTTACAAGATGTCCTCAACCAGGTACATGCATGACCACGTGGAGACCTGGACTACATCAGATGAACGAACCAAACTCGACGGAACCTGAGCAAACTCCTGATTAGCACCGATGGTTTTTACTAGACCTTGGATCCGAATGCAAAATCCGCTACACATGTGCACCATCTGGAGCTACAAGCTCCCACCACCCCTCGGAAAACCTAGGGATTCGCGCGAACTGAATCTTTCACGGAATGGCGTATCGAAGCTGAGCCATAGAAACTCGGCTGGACAGTGAAAGTTATGAAATCTGAGGGATGCATTAGCTTTCGGTAGTGCTGAGTGAGATCAGCTTATGATAAACTTACAGTAAGATCAGTACAAGTCACAAAACTTCGACCGATCATAGTGAAGTTTCTGTTGCATTATTTTTCATTGGTGGATTTTCCCTAGATTTAGGATCCGAAATTATCACAAAAGAACAAAATTTCGCAAGGTGATATCCTTCACAAACGACGCAGATTAGATATAAGAAATGATTTCAACTCCCAAATTCGAATGTTCTAATCCACCATCATGTCCATGTGTGCAACCCTGTGATGGTCTACGAGCAATTCGTACGTCCAACCCAAACAGATCTGCACTAAACTTACCCGGCCAGTAAAACTGTGCAATGCTATTCTCACCGCAATCCGAGGTCCGATGCTACAGTCAGTCCAGCGGAAGTACTCGAATCTGGCGGGACGAAAACAACATTCTCCTATCACAAATCATGTGAAAATTGTAGAAATGTATATTGTATCACCACTGACTTACAAGTCTTAGGCGAGTGATGGAGAGAGGGCAGAGCTAGCTATCGGGTAGGGATCAAACAATCCGGACATACAGTAGATTGGTGGACCAGGAATCAGAACTGCCATCCGAGACCCTAAATGCTGGGGACGCCCGGAGGCTACGTAGAATGAAGGAAAGCCGTCGATTGCCAGATGCATGAACAGCCAAATGAAAGAAGACAGCTACCGAACAATGCGTATCTTGCTCGCAGAACTGTAGTAGTTACGCGATCCGTCCGGGCCGGTTCCGCACTGGACGAAACCCACGCTCTACCGCAGAAACAGACCCCTGATGCATTTCAGATTCCTTCAACCGAATATAGTAACCTAAAAGTCCGGCACCTCTCTCCCGATACAGCCAAGCTCATCCCGGTTTTCACGACCAGGACTTCGAGGGTGTCCTTGGGGCCAGGGCACGTACGCAAGCTCAAGGTCTCAAGGTCCCTTTCAGCGATGGACCGTGTCCAGTTTAGCGGTATGCGCTCACTACGTTTGGATACGGCTTCAAGCGTCACCGTCGACTCCTCTTATGGCGGCTGATCGCAACGTGCTTCCAGTGCTCGGTCTCCTCGGTCGGTCCAATATAGAAATCCGCGGAGTGCTGCACTGCGGTCACGGAGCAGTTTCTCCGTACTTCTATCTAGAGCATGACCGTCGGGTCAATCTGCACTGCCAGTTCACCAGAACATGCTTCTATATGACTTCAAGGCATTAGGCTCGTGAAAGGTCTGTGTGCACCATGCTGCGCCACCCGGAACTGAAGAAGTCGCAACACGAATTTGTTGTACGGTCCACCTTTCATTATGTGTCTATGAAGAATGCTCTCAACAAAAAGTGACCTTCTTTTCATTAGTTTCAAAGACACAAGCTAGAGCTATGAGTCTCCCCTTTCCTCTCGAATTCAATTAAGTGCTGAATCATGAGCATTGCAATGTCGTCAGGAAATTACTGACATTTTGCCCATATTTACAGTGTGACCACTCTGAGAATGTGCAAATCTGACATGGAATGAAAGGCGCGAAGCAACCGCACCTTACAAAGGTACAAAGCAAAAGGCTAAGCAAGCTGGAAATGTCTTTCGCGATAAAACATAACCCACCCACTACGAATATGATGTAAATTAGATGCAGATGGTTAGGTTATGTGACAACATGAAGTCTATATGTTTAAAAAAAGCGTCAACCATCAAAGCTATCTTTCTCTCTATGGGAGAGGCTAAAGTATGGTGTATTGCTCTCCATCTAAATATATAGTAATCTACGCAATGAGACTATGATAAATGTCATATGTCTATCATGATATTTGCCGATATCATTGTACTGATATTTGATTACAAGCCAACGATAAAGATAAGGGTGTCAAATGAGTTCCTATAGCATCCAGAATATAACCACAATAGGATGCAAAATCTGAAAGAGGGATACAACACAATCAAAATACCATCAGCATTATAGTGTGGAATCTGCGATGAATACTAATACCAAACCAAATACGACGCGTAGTTGGGTCTTGAGATAGGCCCTGGCTAAATTTGGGAAATCTTGATGCCATAATGCTTTTCAAATCCTCCTTAGGCGGGCCCTTCCTATAGCCTATGTTTATTATTATGTAACCGAGTACTTAATGGCTAAATGCCATTAAGTACTCGGTTCATAAGTGCGCGAAAAAATCTCTTTTTTTACGCCCGAACCTGTGAAAAGAATGGATAGAGGTTCATGTGTTCAACCGCAAGACTTTGTCCTTGCAAGAGAAATCTCTCTCTCTCTCTCATCTTCTTAGACTTGTCTGCAAGACAACTCTGTATTGCTTCATAATTGCAACGAGAAGTAAATTTAATCAAGGGATTGGTAAAACGCATGACTAAACGCGTCCACCAAGGCTTTGGAGTCTGGGTGGAAATGTGCTGAATTCATATGAACACCATGGATTTGATCCGTTAGGATCAAACCCATGGTTTTCATACATAAAGATTTTACACGCATCCATCTCTGAATTATATACCATGTCTATTGATGAAAGCTTTTATACATGGACTGTTAAGTCAATTACATAATCATATTTTAGTCATAGGTCTCTTGAGTTAATATGCTAGTCTTGACCAGTTTGCAGTTTCAATATAAGGAATTTGCAAATCGTGGGGGATCCACTTATAAATGTGTGTGTAGCTACTGAAGGTTGGAGTAGACTTCCACGTCGCTTCATGTTGGACTTTCCAATATTCCCGAATAATCTTCGCCGGCTGACGATGAGCTTTCGTGTGACGAGGAATTTCACATGTTGTGTTTCACCCAGCCAGTTTCGAATGTGGTCCGGACGCAAAAGTGGCTCGAACATGGTCGCTAGAGGCTTGTTGCTGCCGTTTGACTCACACACCTATGACGCCAACGAGAAGAAACGGTGTCGTCAGGAGCGCGCGCGGATGCACAATGTCGTTTTATCAGTTAACTAAAAATATGTAGCGCAGAAATGCGTGACCCACAATGTATCATATACTCGTACAAATCACGAGGAGCGTTGTTTCGTACAATACACGGATCGGTCGTACACGAGGAGTCTCCAAATGTGAAACACAGAAGGACCTCCCGTGTTGGGAGGGCGGGGATGCTGGCCGGGATTCAGAGAAAACCGGCGACTGCACGGACATGAGAGAAGGTGCCGGTCAGACGCGAGATTTGGCAGCTCGCGAGTCCCGGGAGGAATTATGGCGTCCTAGGTCCTCAGACCCAAGTTCCTGACTTTCCATCTTGTTCTGGCTTCTCCGCAGTGGGCATGTGGGCACTGGGCGAGGCCTTCTCCGGTTGCGATTCGCGGCCGCAAGAGGCTTGCCAAAGCCAAGCAAGCCAAGGCCTGCGTGCCTTACGTTCATGAATCATACACATCACATAAGCACGGTGCGTCAGAGCATAATAATACTGTAAGCTGCAAACGCATTGCCCTCACTGATTTATTGTTGCGGGGTCCGCAGAAACTGCTCCACAACCTGTTGGGCCAGCGAGCTTCGCATACTGTAGCCGCCACTGGAGTCGGCGGGTGAGAAGGTCAAGGACACTGTCCTCTGATGCCACCTATCAAAATGTCACAAGGGTGCAAAGCCAAGGGAGGGGAGGTGACGGGATGGGAGGGGAAGGGAAGGCGAGATCTGTGCTGGTGCGCAAGAAGAGGCCGACCCATCGGCTCTTCTGCGGGCTGTCTGTCATCCATAGCCACAGACTCTCGCCCTCGGCCGTCCAGCTATCACGACGCACTGTGTAGTTGGGCAGGACTCGGCAGCTTCTCACGCTTGCGTGCCAGGGAAACTGTGATGCACAGAGATTGTGCTTAGAGTAGAAAACGACAATCTTTGACTGGGTAAGGTTTATAACAATCATCTTGAGTTTCATTTATTATGTATGATATATATGCAATCAAAAGATGATCCATCAATACCTTGTCGATGACGCAAATGTGCACTTATTGTATGGACATATGTTCTTACAATGATGTCCACCACTCTGCCCTCCTCTCTTCGACCAACATATTGCATGTCCAGTGTGTTTAGAAGAAAAAACATTGAGTGGTAATTTATTTTAGGACTGAAATATGTCTTTATCGGCAAGTGTCGCGGTTTTAGGACAAACAAGTCGACAACCTCGATCAACAAGTCGAGGTTGTGCCAACTCAAACTTTCCATTTTTGCGTCAATCAGTGAATCTCTGCCAGAGTCAGAAATATCAATCTGACAGTCGTTGAGTATCTAAAAACTAAATGTAATGTGGGTGCACGTTTCCAAACGTGTAATCTGACGACCTCAACATCTTTGTCATCCAAGACTGTACTTCAAAAGTATACGTACAGATGGCTTACGTAAATACAATTTGTCAAATTGGCACCTGTTGATAGAAGGAAGGGTCAAAGTGGCTCCATCTCCGGACAAGCTGCTGATCCTCCTGCTCATGCTTCCTCGGAATCCATCCATCAGAAACAAGAGGAGCACAGTGGAGTTTTCGGTGAGGATAAAAATTGTGAGCTCGACATTGTTGCTCGTGGGTCGGGTTTACGTTCAACTTTTGAACGGGTCTTACAGTTGTTGCTTAGAAAGGCAGGTTAGCTAGCCTCTGGGACCTTTACAGTATTAATATTGGGTTCCGTAGGTCGGCCCCGATTTGTTTATGTGTGGACGTTGAGAAGCTGGCCTAATGCACACAAAATGCGATGTACGGTGGGAGGACGATGCCTCCAAGTTCACACTTTCATAAAATGTAGTCGTATTTCTGCTTGAGGTCGGCCTACGTCCTGGTCACAAGAACGAACTACGTGCAGACAAAAGTCCTCCACTTGTTCGCTTCTTGCAGGTTGAGTCATCATGCCGCCAAGTCTTTTCCCAAATCTAAAAGATACCTTTCGTCTTAGAGTACGAGCACTAATTGCTCGTTGCAGTTGTTTGAAAAGTCTAACATAACCCCAGTTAGAATCTGAGACCGCAGGAAGGCCTCGTTCCAGTGCGTGCGTCTTTATAAAATCCTTTGGGATTATAATATCTTCCATCGGGAGAAGTTGGAACATTTCCCAACTCCATTTGTACGTTTGAATGGAATCATGCCACGGCATATTAAATCACATACATTCGGGAGCATGGGACGAGAGGACCGGGCCATTCGCTTCTAGGACTCGTGAGGAGAAGTTGCCGTAACCCTTCAAGGCTCTGGCTGGAGTCGTGCCTTCGAAAGGCTCGGTGTAGGGTTTGAATTCAGGATTGTCAAAGGCTTCTCGCGGGTCACAGCTCGTAATGAGAGCAGGTCGGGGGAGCATAGATTCCGATCCCTGGACGAAGTCGAGTAGCGCCCACCCGCATCCACCGACTTCAGTGCAGGAAGATTGCTCGTGGTCGCTCGGACGGGGATGCGGTAGAGTTTTAGCTGCCGCATTCGTAATAAACTACAGTTTACTAGTACACCTTTGAAAGCTTCAGAGCTGTGGAGGAAGAGTACTTGTCCCTATTTAACACATTGGTTTTGAGGATGAATCGGACTCGCTAGATGCTTCGTGAGGACAGCATATGCCTCCATCCACTTGTAAGTTTCTTGTTTGAATGGACAAAGCCTAGAAACGAGAGCACTTTTTGCTGGACACAGCCACTCTTGTGTTGAGCATGCCTGGGCTGGGCCCGAAGACAAGCCGCACCCGCACCTGCATGTGCTCCTGTCAAGCAGAAACATGCTGAGGGTGAAGCTTTTCACTTTTCTATGATGGTATGAAAGCCAGCAGAAGCATCAACTCTCGCTGCTGCTGCTGCTGGAAAAGGGGAAGTGAGGAGTTGAACATTTGGGCGAAGGTCGCATGGTGGAGCCCAAAGGGCCCCGACGTGGAAAACGACGCAGATCCTTCAAGGAAGGCCACGCGCTGTTCTTGGTCAAGGATGTAACCGGACACAAGACTCGGAAGCGCACAAGGTGGCGTAAAATCGAAATGCAGTGCGACATAACCGAAAAGAGGAGTTGCGAACAAAAGATCTCCAAGTTCTAACAAACCCTCGATCGTAATCCGGGATCTTTGACCATGTGGCAACAACACCTGGCCTATCACCATCGCCTCCGGTTGAGGCTCTGACAGTTGCATCGAGATTCGGAAGCCGAGACATGAAACTTCGTATCATGGAGACGCTATAATGCAAACCTCTCTTTTCTAACTGGAGGGCTTTCAAGAGGTACTGCCTGCATGATGAAAAGCCCTTATCCAACCATCGTTTGTCTTCAAGCCCGAGATTCTTGCCGCTGGGAATCGGAGGTCGGATCGAAGACTCTTCGGCTCGATAAAAAGTTGCCGTAAGATTCTATCTTGTTCATCTCGTCGACTCGTCGACGATGTCAGTGCTACCGGGCTGGCCTTGACTATGGCGAGAGAGAGAGAGAGAGAGAGAGAGAGAGAGAGAGAGTTCAATACCTGAAGCCGACTTCCGTTGTCTGCCCACTGCCCTACCAGGCCCACTTCGCTCACACTCGTGGCTTATCATTCCGCGAGCACACTACTCGCTAGCGTAGGGCTCGGTCGCTAAGAGAGCCACACAGCTATCGATCGCGGCCATGGCGATCGATGGCGCTGAGTCGAACATCGCTCACATGACTCAACCCATGTTCAGCTTATGTCGTGCATTGTGGGCCTTTCTGCGTCGAGCGTGGTGCGGGAACTTTTGTGTTTGTGGGTGGTTTCGTTCCTCCTCCAGACAGTCTAGGTCTTGCCTGCCTGCATGACTAGCAGGACCGTTCTTTCCTCCGCACAGCATTAAGCGCACTGCCATCTCATTTTTTACTCATTTTTTTCTCTTGGACCCAAGAATGTGGAAGATTCAGCGGACCTCTAACTTACTCCACCCATCGCGAACCAGTGACCAATCCGGTGCAATCCAATCTCAAGGTATCGTAGTGTCTACACATTACGATAATGACACAGTCCTGACAAGTTTGCAGAAGGCCATATTATTGCTAGGAGGCGTAGTAGACTCTCATCGAAACTGGCGCTTCCTTCGTTCCTTCCTTGGTGTTGGATCCTGTCCAACACAAGTCAAGTGAGTCATGGCTCCCGAGTCCGGGTCGTCCTCGTCCTCGCCGCGCCGCGCCGGCCCCACACGCCCCCGCCCGACTTGGAGCGCCGGTGGGTTGGCCCGAATCGGGTCGCGTCGGGTCGGGTCGGGTCCGGTTCATTCATTCAAAGATTCAGCGGGCGCGCGGGAGGGCGGGCGACAGACATCGACACAACGCGCCGAAGTCACATTGGTGGTTCTGCGCAGAAGGGCACCCGACGTGGACTCGGGTTAACTTGCGCCCCACTCTCTCACTAACCCAGCTATACCGCAGAGGGCCTCCCTGCCTGCCTGCCTGCTTCTGGGAACGAGCCTGCGATCGGCAGCAGGCAGGGCATGCACGATGACTGCGTTCCTTCTCTGAGAAGGAACACGAGACTCCGAGGCTGCCAATAATTCGGCGCACTTCCCCGGGCGCGGTCAACATGATGTGATCTTGACCAACCGGGAATACCTCTGACGCACGGTCCCCACATTGCCCACATCCACCTCTGCTGACAGGGGCGCCGGTCGAGTCCGGTCGCGCGCTCGCTCTCGGGGGTATGTCGCGATAGGACCGAGCTCGGATGGATGGACGATGGATGTAGGGATGGATGGATAGATACTCGAGTCAGGAGCAGATGCAAGGTCGGGTCGGGTCGGGTCCCGAGGGAGTTATCTGCACCAGAGCCGGGGTCGCGCGCCGTGGTGGGGAGAAGGCGGGGGGAGCCTGGTAGGGTTCTTATTGGCATTAAACTATAGCGCTACGATGCGGGAGAATAAAGCTCTGATGTGTGTTGGGTTCGCTGACGTTCCAAAAGGGGATAGGAACGACTATTTGCTTGTGCGTTCCGATAGACTCGAATCCATCTCGACATACGACCACCGAGTGTGGTCGGGTTTTGTCACTTGATCGAATTGACAGTCGAAGTTGTTCGGATCCGAGGAGCCCTGGCTTCTTCCCAAGGGACAAACGCTCTCCGATCGCACATAGGCTCTGGTCACTTCCGTCTCTCGCGCCTTGCTCCGGCCGGCTGGGTGTGTGGATGTTCGGGGGGATGGATGGGGTGAAAAATGCTTGAGGCCAGTGGCATTTGCTGCGAATCGTTGCGCTGCTCGTAGGTGGTGATGGATCGTAGCTCGACGTCCCGGCTTACGCCACACATTATTCCCCCACCCCGACCAACATCATCAAGTTCGATGAATCGAGATGTCTAGTGCAACTTTTCCGGCGACGAAAAGCCGAAGTTTGGTCATTTTTCGGCAGCTATCGTGCACTCGAGAGGCGATGCATTCAAATCCCAGATTGATCACGGATTCATCATTTTCCATGGTGACAAAGCCTGCGCTGTTCCCACTCGAAAGCAGTCCGCAGGTCCTTCGCACCCAGAACTCAAGTGCGTTCGGGCACGCCGTAATGCCAGCCCACTGGACCCCTTCAAGTTTCGGCCCGTTCCTCCCGACGGTGCCGAGATCCAACTGATTCTCGTTGCACGCTTCGATATCCCAGCACTTCTTTAAATCGCCCGGCATATTCTGGTTATATGTGCCACATATGTGGCGCCCAGATGAATAGCGTTCCGCCCTCTCTCCACGGAAGTGGGGAGAGAGTGTGATAAACTCGGAATTTGCAACTTGTCCTGCTCTCAGCTTCTGACAAGATGTGGCATCAACTCCCTCAAGTGCTCGCAATGTTGACCCTTTGGAAGAAAGCAGTCCAGGCGCACTTCTCACGGCCAGGGGCTTGGGAGTAGGGCTCCCCACACGCAGGAACGGGTCCCATTCTTCGACATAGTGCGCGCGATCTGAGACTGGGGTTTAGGGCGAAGCGGAACAATTGCGTTTGATACTCTTTGATCTTCGACTGGATACTGAGTCGAAAACTCAGATAAGCGTGTCCCGTGTCTACCCTACCACCCAGGACCAATCTGATCAGGTCAAATGGAAGTGAGCAACGCTCCCCCCGAGGATTGAACGTCAGAGATAGTCACTGTGTCTGCTGCAGACACACATCGAAATTCGACGTGTTGGACATGAGAGAAAAGTTTCGGCTGGTAAAGGTGTGGTAAGGCGTGACTGTGACGTTCGGTGTTCTTTTGCTAGCATAATGCTCGACCTCTTAATTTCCAGACACAAACCGATTGGCCTCGCAATTGTCTTACTCGAAAAGCTGACGACAAAAACATCTCTGGACGTGTCGCGGTTGGACGCATCCCGGCGCGCTCGACCGCTCTGACACTATCTAACACCTCCTCCTCGAGTGTTACTCCGCCCCCAGGATTAGTGGAAGCAGACTTCGCTGTCGCTGGAGAAAGGGCATGCTCAGATTTTTGAGAGGGTTGCAGTTCTTGCTGAGTCAGGGTGCGTGATTTTGAATCCTCACATACCAGTCTCTCTTGGGAACAAAATCTATTTAGAAAACAGGAAAGGCTTAGAAATAGTATTACTTTTGGTAGTGTTACTGAGCTTTGACTTGACAAATATATGGAGACATACGTAGTCATCAAGTTCCATAGCGCAACTTTACGCGCTCGTCTGTTTTTTCATCCGATATGAAGTACCGTCAGATCGTTACTGTTTCGGGATTCGCAACCGCTACGCTGGCTTTAGACTCTACGAAAATTCTCAGTGTGTTCTTTGGCTCCATTCGCAACGCAGGGGAACTTAGCGTCTCTCGTGGAGAATGTTACTGCAATCCGAAACCCGAGAAAAGTGACGACAATGCCAACCAACATGAAACAATACGAAGAAGTGAAAAGATCAAGAGAGGAAAAATAGGAACAGAGTGCTTTTCTCAGAAAACTTCATTGATTCAGCATATTGTACAGAGTGCACCACTCAACAAAATGGACCGCATGGTCTGTTCCGTTAAAATGCTACTATCTACAGAAACTTGTGTATCTGCTGCTGAACTATGCACAACGAGCTAAGTGTCGTAAGTTTTTACTTCACTAAGAATCTGAGTCTACAATCGAATAGCCGAGTATGACGATAGAAACCCTTATCAGCACATAAGCAGATTAGAGACAGGCGTCAAACAGAAGGGCGAGAGGAAAATCCCTTGATTGGGTAGGAACTCATCGACTAAGTTCTACAAAGAATGGAAGGAGAAATAATGAATGAATATTTTGATTTCAAGATAAGTGCTCGAAGACAATGATAACATGTGAGAGATTACGCTCTCATGTGCACCAGTGTGCCTGCTCCACCGGAACGCAGATGGAATTAGCCTTATTGGCCGCATAAGCACAACCCCCACGATAATCGCTGGCAAGATAGGTGGAGCTTTTGAAGCTCGACGCCAGGTAGTCCCCAGCTACATCAGCCTCGAACCGGTTCTTGAAGCGGCCTTGACGTAGAGAGTCCTCCACTCGGTTCCTCAGATCCTTGACCATCTGGTGAGGCTCATGTTGCATCGTGCGCAGAGCGTCCTCGATATTTTGAGTTGGAATGGCGTGTGTGATCTCGAATCCTCCTTCCCTGAAGGTAACTTGTACCATATTCGGTCCACCGAACAAATTGTGCATGCTTCCCATGACTTCTTGGTAAGCACCACCCAAAAACACGCCCAAGTAATAAGGCTTCTTCGAGATCAAACCGTGAACGCGCAGAAAATTCGAAGGCTCCACATCGTCGTTGTGACCGATAAATCTGGCAATTTTTCCATCGCTGTCACACGTGAGATCTGAAAGTACAGCGCGGACAGTGGGCTCTTCGTCGAGGCGGTGCATTGGAAGAATGGGGAACAACTGACCAATGGCCCAGCTGTCGAGCATGGACTTGAAAATAGAGAGGTTGATGTGGTAAGTGGCCGTCTGATCCACCACCCCACTGTCCACGAGGGAAAGCTTCTTCGTTGGGTAACGGTCAAACTTTTCCTCCTCTCTTTGGACGGCCAAGTTGCTCACCATATCGAACAGCTTCTCAGTCAGAGCCCGTCTCTCCAAGCTAAACTGGCCGATTTTGAAGAGACGAACACCCTCCGCCTTCAGGGTCCTCGCGTGTTCGAGAGCACCCACGTAATCACCGCGTTTCAGCAGCTCGGTGAACTGCTCGTGGGTGGCTGCTAACTCCCTGGGCCATCCTTCGAAGTCCAGCGACACCCCAATGTCCTCCTCGGAATCACAAGTTTTCATTCGGGCCGAAAGAACATCGAAAACGAGGATGGACTGGTGAGAAACCAGCCCGCGACCGCTCTCGCACGAAATAGTCGGGTTCTTCACGTTCTTCAGAGAGCACGCCTCCTTGATGGCATTCACGACGTGCTCCGCGTACTCCTCCAACGTGTAGCCCACAGACATTTCGGAAGCCGAGGAATGTGATCCGTCGTAGTCGACTCCCAGCCCGCCTCCAATGTCGATGTTCTTCATGTTGGCTCCCATCAGCTCCAGCTCGCAGAATATATGCGCCGCTTCGCTGACGCCCTCATCCACCAGCGCCAATGACGGAATTTGCGACCCGATGTGGAAATGCAGCAGCTGCAGAGAAGCCAGCATGTTGTTTCGCTTCAACTTCGCCACCACCCCAACGATTTCGGATGTGGTCAGGCCGAATTTCCCCTTCTCACCCGAGGTCTCGCCCCAGTGACCGCCGTGCTTGGTGCACAGCTTGGCACGGACTCCGATCACGGGGAAGACTTCCATTTCCTTGCTCACTTTGATCACGATGTCCAGCTCCTCTTCTTGCTCGAGAACAATGATGGATTTCAAGCCAATCTGTCGAGCCATCAAGGCCAGACGGACGTACTCGGCATCCTTGTACCCGTTGCAGATGAGCAGGGCGTCGGCGCTGCCATGGCACATGTTGGTCATGGCCATTACGAGCTCGGGCTTCGAGCCGGCTTCCAGGCCGAAATTGTACTGCTTACCGTGCCGGACGATGTCTTCGACGATGTAGCGGTCGGGGTTGCACTTGACGGGGAACACGCCCTGGAAGCGGCCCTGGTATCCAGTGTGCTCGATACCGCGCTCGAATGCCATGTGGAGGGTTGACAGCCTATGCTTGAGAATCTCGGGAAACCTGATGATGAGAGGCATAGACATGCCCTCGCTCACGGCCCGCTCCACCACGTCCATCACGTCAATTTCGTCGGATGAGAAAGTGCCACGGCCGTGAGGGCGCGCGGCGATGTTGCCTTTCTCGTTGATGCGGAAGTAGGGGGCACCCCAACCTTCGACTCGGTAAAGTGAGGAAGATTTCCGGACGCCCCATGCATTATTTCCAACATCGTAGTCTCCATAAGGGATTTGCAGTGGAAATCCGAATTGCGCAGAAGGAAAAGCATGACTCACTGCTAGGGGGGGCATGTTTGTCTTCTGGGTGTCAAAAATAAGACTCTTAGCAGCAGGACGCTCCTGGCTACGCTCCTGGCTAAAAGCCGAAGCCGAGGCCGGAGCCTCGGCTCTGTAGGGACTGAATCAATTTTCTAAAATTTCGAGATCCACAATGAGTTCGAGAGCTGAAAGAGAACCTCTGGAGGCTTCAATTGGAATGGCAGACAACTCAAGAATTGAAGATGGAGTTTCGGGATTTGCCCGGACCTAAGTTGGATATCCAAAACCCTCCTAAAACCCAAGCCAAGCAAGGTCCCTGAGACCAACGACTCCCCGGAAGGTCACAGAGATCCGCTTCCGCCCTGGGTGAGACAGAGGACGCCGGCCGACACGAGCGGCGCAGGTCGGTCGGCAGAGAGAAAAACGAGTCAAATGAGCGCTAGCCTGCAGCCAGCAATTCCGAGACGGATGTACAAGAGAAAAAGCTCGTTAGGCCCCGAAGCTCGCCAGACCGACCTCGAGAGCCTGAGAGATAAGATACAACACACGGAGAATGAAAATGGCCCCGGTTAGCGAGGAGACTGTGATAGTTGGCGGAAATCCACACCTCCACGGCGACAGGGTAAGCCGAGAGGATCAGGCAGTGTCGGATGGATGGATGGCTGGAAGGCTGGCTTCGAGTGATAGCACCGGGTGTCTCGAAGGAGGTACGAGCCCTATAGTTTTGGGTGTTAGTGGGAATGGAGGTGGCGCAGAGGCGAGGGAGGAATTAAAAGGCGAGCCCAGGCCAAGAGAAGAGCGAACGCAACAAGTGATGATGAATGGGACGAGCACAAGCTGGTTATAAACGCTGGCCCGGAGGCCCTACAGAGTGGGGGAGAGATGAGGTATGATGGCAGTGCGAGGAAGGAGGTTTCAAAAGTTTAAAACGAACAACGACGACGACTCGGGCGCTGGGGGCTGGCAGTCAGGCAACGACCGGACACAGGGTGGCGCTTTAGGTACTGTGCAACAACGCTAAACAAAGCAGAAAAGGTTTAAAACTTTTTCGACCCCGGACCAGACCCAGCACAAGGACAGTCCCAACTCATCTCTCCCTTCCGTCCATCTTCCCCCTCTAACCCTACGCTGGGTTCTTGCTCGCGCTTTGGCGCAAGGACAGTGGCTGCAGCGGAAGCACAAGTTCGTCAGACCAGGAGCAGCAGGCGAGATCTTCTTGTGGGTCTTGGAACAAGTCTAGAAAGCACGTCTTCTCAAGTTCTCAACCACTTCCCTCGCGCCCCCTCGACTGGCTCGCCCGCCCGTCCGCCCGCCGGCTGGACTTTCCACTTCCCTCCCTCCCGATCCGTTCACCTCCCCAGCCCCTTCCCTTCCTTCTGCCTTCCGGGTTCGAGAATCCAATCAACCTCGGCAGAGGCTCTCGACCACGATTACTCTTCGCGAGACCTTCCTGCCGAGAATTGCATAAGTCGCCTCTGCCTCTCCGCCTGCGCCTGCATGCTCTTTTACCCTCTCGTCGACGACGTCGTGGTCTCGATTATCCAGACCACCACTTTTGTCAGTGCTCACGGCTCCCGCCCTCCTTGGCTCGGCTCGGCTCCGCTCGCCTCCCCTCCACTCCGCTGGCTGGCTGTCTGGCACCGCCTCTGGCTCACACGCCTACGAATCCAACAAGGACAAGAACCATCTCTCGTCGACTGACGCCCTATCGCTCTCTCTCTCTCTCTCTCTCTCTCTCGGCCTCGTCTTCCTCTTCACCGCCCCCTTCCCTTCCCTTCCCCTCGCCCTCGCTCGAACCCCTTCCCTTCTCTAGCTGTACCCGTCGGCCTGCTCCCCCGCCCGCCAGACGGCCCGGCCACCCGCCCGTGCCTCCCAGCCCCACGCTTCTGCAGCCTAGGCAAGCCTTAGGTTTCTGCTTCCGGTCGCCTTCCTGGACCCGCGAGCCCTGCGATGATGTGATCCACCTTCGTGGATCTCATTGGTCCCCACCCGCTGGCCACGATTAACCACCTCCCTCCGTCTCGACCACGCGATCTAGATTGCGTACGTGGTAAGTGCACAGGACCTCAAAGGGACGGTATCGCAGTTGCGAGTCAGGATGGACCTCGTAGCGTACGTATTGTATCTTTCCCCGAGCGGCTTACGGTTACATGGAATACGGTTGATTCTCACGCTGTAACCGTTCCCAGCTACCACGTTGGCTTTCACCCGCGTTCTCGTCATTCATTTGTTGGTTGTTTCTTCCGGCGCGTAAAAACGGGAGTTACTGTGTACTAGCTTCCCGTCACACATGTCGTCGAGGAAACTGGACCTGGCGCCATGCACGACACCATTTCCCACCCTACCGCCGGAGTCACGACTGGTGAGCGGTTCACGGACGATCACGGATCCAACCGAGCTAATCTGCTCGGTCCAAAACTCCATGGCAGCGGAATACATCACTCACTTCACGATCCGATCACTCGCACAGATGCTTCTCTGGCAGAAAGATCTCAAACATACGCGTCTCGTTCGACCTCAGTGGATCCGAAATCTGATTCACGCTGCTATTAATTGAATACTTACAGCCACTGCGGTGGTTCAAGCCCCAACATGAGCAAGCTTTTCGTTCACGACTCACGAAACTCGTCATTGATATCTGTAAATGTTTATTGCATGTAATCAGACTATCCGCATTTCAAGATCCAGGCTTATTTTTGCCTTATTTTCCCCCGCAGGCAGCTTGAAATCGTCTATCAGACGACAAGCAGCTCTGCTTTCAAATCCTTGAAATGCGACCATAGTAGCCATAATGCTGTGATAAGCTCCAGATGTTGTAGATAACGCGAGAAGACGCTCGTCATAATCTCCTCAAGTTGTAATGCTGGGAATTTTTCGATCAGAATGAAAAGATTAAAATATTCCAAGCTGCTTCCATAAAAACATCTTGTGATTTTAAGAAGTTGTTAAAATGACATTCTTTCCACTGATATAGGAAGACATGTAAACGTCAGACTTGATGACTGGCGTGGTTTGGGCAGTTATAATCCGAAGGAAGTTATCAGTTCTATGGACAACCTTTCCAACCCCATACTTTTGTAAATGAAACCTGAGCCGTTATTTAATGGTATAAAAGCACCACAGAGGCATTATCACCTAGCGGAGATATCAAAGCTCGTTTATCAAACCAAATGACCTCATACTGTTGTCATTCTTTGTAAGTCATGTCTCTCGTATTGAGATTGCTACGTATCTCAAGATCCACTGGCTATAATATCTTCTCTTCCTTAATTTTAATGCCTCACAACTACCAAACATACAACGGCTGTAACTAACGTCAACCCTTGACTTACAGTCATCTAGGTCCAGTTTCCTGGTCTCTTCAGCTTCTTGACTGCGTGCCATCGGTGTTGAAGACGAGTCATGAAGAAGGTTGGTGAGTTAAATGTCCCCATTGTAGACTGTTTTGGTATCACATTCAGATGCAAGTATCAGTTGGAATAAGAAAACCTTCAAAATAAATATTTATATATTTATATATATTTATTCTGAAGGTTCTGACTTTTTATATCTTCTACTAGTTTTATTATCAGATTTCAGAAATAGCTGCCTACATCAAATTCTTGTGTTGTCTTACTATAAAATCAAAGCATTTGCATTCTCCGGTATTGTGAGTTTCCAGGTTTTTAAATGGTCCGTTGATCGAGAAGAGATTTAAACACAGCGGAAGAAAAACATTCGACCATACGAAGCCCACTAAGAGTCTAATGAACAGTATAGGACATTTACATCTATATTCCAGAATTGCAATAATGTAAACTTAGCTTAGAGTGGACGAACGGATCATCAAAAGTCTTGCCAAGTATAAATACTGAAATGTTTCTCTAGTTTCCTAATAGATTTGTGCACCATTTAGGAATGTGAGGGTATATATAAAATTATCTGAAATGTCTATTTCAGATAATTTTAAAATATTGATTATCAATTACTGACAAGAATCCTACTAATATATTTTCTTTTCAGTTGGTATTCCTCCATTTCATGCGTATCTACATCTTGTGGAATCCCTCACTATCAAGTAGAATTTTTAAGCAGTAAGTCAAAACGAATCATAGAGAACTAACGACAACCATAGAGTGAAAAGTAAATCATTTAGAAACATAATCAAATAAGTGAATAGTCTAATAAAACAAATAATCTAGTTTTCTTCATTCTTCCAAAAAAATAGAAATATTCTTCTTAAATTATTTCAATTATGCAGATTGAATGTTAAAGGATATGAATATAAAAGAGATGATGTAACATGGTATTCAAAATACACGTAATTTACCATTTTGTCAGAATACTGATATCTAATATTATTTTATTCATTTTTTAAACATAGGAAAATATAATTTTTAATGTGTATGTTGCTAAAACTAGCACTTCAAATTTCGTACTCAGTAAAAATATCTCAGTCAGTTTTTAAAAAATCATATTTTTTAATAGTAATAAAAATAATAGTCATACTATTTAAGCAATTTTATACAACAGGTTGCTATTTGACAAATGCCGTAAAAAATAAGACTTTGGACCTAATAGAATTGTTAATTGGTCAACTGTAACGTTGCATTATCGACGTCAGTCTTATAAACTGATCAGCCAAGATCTTCTTGTGTTGAATGATGGCTTAAACCTGAAAGGATTAGTTTCTTCACTGACTAAAATTTTATTTAGGTATTGTTTACGATCCATACAATTTTATTTAATACTATCAATTCTTCAATTAGTTTTACAACGTAAATTAGAACAACAACGATAAATCCATGAACATTTAAATATATTAAAATAATGGATTTGGTATGCTGAAATCTCCCAAACATCTTAAAAATTAAAAATGTGATGTCCACTCCTATCTTGTTTCCTTCACATGAAAGTTGAGACACGAAACACCTCAGTTTTTTCCAGCGTTTTAGAAGTCAAAATCAGAAAGTATGAAGGATTTTAGAATTATCTAAGTAAATTTAACAATAAAATAGTAATAAATGTTCGTATTAAATCTTAATTATATGAAACCTAGAAAACAATACCTAAAATACACAACAAGTTTGAAAGTTTCGTGTGAGGTGAACTAATAGCAAACCTCGAGGCTGGCTATGTTTGAGCCCAGATATTGACTATGGACCCTAGAAACTCAAAGGGCAAGAGATAAAGATAGGAAATTAACATAAAACTAATTTATACATATGTATTCTTATAATTTCTAAATGATAATTTATGATTTTTTATTTCATTTTATAATATGATATATTTCAATATATTTATAATGAATAAGAAATTAAATATAATATTTATTTAAAAAAAATATTATTTGGAAAAGATCAAGATTTTGACTTTTGAACAAAATAATATGTAGTATGTCTAAAATGAAAATACATTAAATCATGTTAAATAAATTTTCAAAATTATTCATATAATGAAATGTTTTATTTGAAATATATCTGTGATTGAATATTCTAAATTTATATCAATTTTTGTATCTTTCAAGATAATTGTATATTAATTTATAAGAAGCAGAATAAAGGCGGATAAAATAAATTCCTTAGATCTGTAAAATCAAACAACATTCATGTTATTATGATAAAATAGCATCACAATGAAGAGTATTTATTAAATATTCATGAAGTTTAGTAAATATAGATAAAACATCTACAAAGAAAAATAACTCCAAACTAAAAAAATTTGCATGTAATTGATTTTCTCTTGATGAATTTTTGAAATTTTTTCTATGATTAATAAGTCAAATCTATGTAATAAATTTCTTAAAATAAATTTGTGAGGAAATAAAAACATATTTTAACAATATGTAGAGAATTAAATCATATCATATTTTACCGTGATATGTGTTAGACTATTTAAATAAAAAATCAATGAATAATCTTTCATCATATAAACCTCCAGAAAATTTTCATCAAACCTTTCTTGAAATATTGATGCGACAAATTTCACTATGATCACTTTGATAATTGAATTGTAGACTACACTAGCACACTTACTAACGCACTAGAAACTCTTTGAATCTCCAATAATATACATTGAATAATATTAGTTACGTGATATGAAGACTAATTATCTCCGTAGTAAGTAATCTTTGTTAAAATCCCTTGATTTTCCAAGAAAATAATGATATTATTTTTGTCAAAATAGATTGAAATAAATTTTTAAATAAGATATGATTTGATGCAAAAGTATATTTCACACACTCAAAAACTTTCAGATGCATAAATCAAGCCAATTTTTTAATGTGTGAAAAAACCACATCCAAGTAACAGTATAGCTCTATCAACTCATATGTATGATATGCTTATCTTTGAATTTTATGAATAAAATAATACATCCTTGAAGATTTCTTGAAACGTTTATTGATATTTTAATTTGTTATAATATTTGCATATTTTTTTTTCTGAATTTCAATATGTGCATTTTAGCATAATTTAGTATAAGAACATATTACAGTAAATTCTAAATAAACTTAAAATTTTACGCTAAATATTTAATATATTTATATTTTATTTGAGAAGCATGTCTTTATAACGAAATATAAATTCTGAGTTGAATAGAATATATTTGTTCCAAAAAGTCCTGACTAGTCAATTCAATATTTCACATTGATTTTTTTTTTCAAAATTTGCTATTCAGATATAATACTATAATTTATTCATCTCTTGTGTTATGATAAATTTCTATACATATTAATTTTATAACAAGAAAATATGTTAAACAAAAAATATATCACTCTTTCAATAATTCACTTCAAACAATTTTTTTTTAAATCACTTGAAATTTCATATATTATAATTATAATATGTTTTGGATTTTTGATGAATAATCTTGAACGTTAATATACTTATGTAAATGTAACTGGAATTTTAATCTATTGAAATTTTCAAATATACATGCATCACATAAGGTGTGACATCTCAAGACCTAAAAAACAAGTTGACAAGTGTAAAACATTATTTTGGTATTGAATGTTGGTTTGCAATAAAAACAACTACACATTTCATTGTGCATCATTTTTAAAACTTTTCTACATTGCAAATTGTATAAATTGTTAAAGTGTTGATTTAGAAACCTCTTGAATATTTTGTCATGGATTTGTTTAAAAAAAATTCTTATTAAGATTCCTCATTAGTCGCCATGAACTTAAAAATGTTCTTATTCTTCACTCTCTTCTTCTATCTTAATGATCATAAAAATTGAGTTAAAACTGCCTATGAATTATCATATTTGACAGTAGATTGCACTTATACATAAATAAACCCAGCCCCATTTTAAGTAAATTCATCCAATAAAGCGACCATGATGGGTCACAAAGTGAAAATACACCCTGCTCAATGTTGTTAAACTGTTTGCTTGTAAAGTACTCCATGTTTTTTCATGGACAGAAGGTGAAAACGAGAAAAATGAAAACACGCCTGTGATATTTTCATCAATGATACATAAATTGTCTACCACCATGAAAAAATAACAGAACTGATTGTATGTATATATATATATATATATATATATATACACTCTTATCAATCATGTAATTGTATAAAAATATATACAATTTTATTTTATAAAAATACTCCAAGTTTCTCATGAAATTAATATGAAAAACGAGAGAAAGAAACACACGTGTGATACTTTTTCGATTGAATGCAACGTCTAGCACACTGAGCTAATTACAGAACTGATTAGCTATAAGATATATTGATACCAAATGTATATTCTCATGGAAATTATCTCAAAAGGAGAAAAATATTTCACACGTGTCTAATATATAGTTCAATTCGATAGAATGTCCATCACAGTGAAATATTACAAATTAATAAAAGAAATAAAGAAATAAATATATATCATCGAATAATTGCTTCGCACATTTCCCACGTGTTAAATTTTTCGACGGCGAAGTTCGATCCGACCAGGGACGTCAACTATAAAAGCTTAAAAGCATGTACCATGTTGCGATGTAACTTGTGGCGCCTGAGTTATCTTGTGCAAAGACCGCCTGAGTGTTGACAGGACCGGACACTACGAACTAACTCAAGGATAGAAAAATATTAGAATCTTACCCATGTTAAAATATGAAAGCTACAAATGAAAGGAAGGAATACACATGGGAGTGACGATAAAATATAATTTATTTGTCTTGAAATATCCTCCAAAAGAAAGGAAACGAACTAGCAGAAAGGCAATTGTAAACAGCACGGATTCAGCTACGTGGGAACAACAAGGGCAAATAAATTCAAACGGGAAAGTATCTACTATTCTTTTATCATGGAATATATAGACCTAAAATTCTCCTAGGAGATTACTGATATTTCAGCAGAAAAAAGCAAATATAGTGGCGTGCATAAGGTATGTCTATTGATTGTAAGAGTGAGAAACCATCATGACTTGGATAGAGTCATTAATGTTACGTGTGTTTTACCATGAACATGTCGCATATTTGACACCAGGAAAGTACTAAGTACATATTCCCATGTGCTAAGCTCGTGAGTTCCACTTCAGAACGGATGGAAATACCATCCTTGTGATTTCAAGACGTAGAGGTCATTATGGACTCACGACGATTCACGTTCTCTATGGATTAGAACGAATTTCATGCAAATATCTGAGACCAGAAGTATCGACAGAAGAAGGGGCACGGTCCACATCTGAGAGGATCAATAAAAGACTCACCTGCGTTGTATGGTATGATATATAAGGTGAATCTCTCAGCGATACAAATATGCATGGGAATTTACAATAACCATTTGGACTAGCTCGAAGTCAATTTACCATAGTCATACAAAAGCTATAAACTATCTCATGCAACTTACCGGTACTCTTATTCTTCTTCATAGTAACCCATGTTTTGAACTATCAGAGCATATTTCAGTCTTGAGACATAAACTCTAAATGCATTCCGTCCCCTCGCAATGCACTTGTCTCATAGGCTTAAAGTCAGCTGATGACTGTTAGAAGGGGTGGAATTCTACACATAGATCTTTCTTTATTATCGCTAGCTGTGGAGTCTCGAGGTAGCCAGTTCCGAGTTACGTCACACACCACAAGAAACCCAGAAAAGTGACCATCCTCAGACTCACACTGTCAAGGCAACATCGCCAGCAAGCAACTTGGAATTATTTGGTTTTGACTACGACCCATGGAAATATCAATCTACATGCTTGATCAATATCAGCACTAAAGAAGGGTGAATCTGTGTCTTATAAATTTTCAAAAATTCATAATAAACTTGCTTTTGAACTGATTACTTGCTTGCTACAGATTTCCAACCTGTAGTTTTGCCATCTATGCTTGGATATTAGTACCAACATTTAGGACATTTTGTCATTTAAAAAGAAAACACATAACGTGCTTTAGGGCCTTGTTGCAAAATCTTTTTTATTGACTAGAATGGAAAAGTACTGAAGATTTGTTAAAAATACACATTCTATTGGATTTTATTTCAATCTGGCGTTGTTTGAAGTTAAAATGAATGAAACAGCATCTTCTGAAAACCTATTTTTAATCTTTAACAACAAATGGAGAACAAAAGTATTGAAAAATACATGTTAAAAGAACACTTAAGAGTTAATTTGAAATTCAAGACGAATCTCTGCAAGAAGAGATATCAAACGAGAAAATGTAAGACCTTCTCATGTTCACAGTTAGAAGGTGCGCTTTACATATGCAGAACAGTGGTAAACCCCTAGGGATTAATTTGGAATTGGTTTACTACAATTATCCCGGTGGTTCATTGAATATTAAAGAAATTGCAAGTTATCAGTGTACACAGGCCAATACGGTAAACACGTTGATAAAAATGCAATCCATATCACGATCCACAATCTTTTTATGAATGCAAGTTAATTTGTTATTAAAAATGGTAATGACTCTACGTAATCTTGAAATATGTAAACACACATAAGGAGCAGATCAAATGAATTTAAGTTTGAACTACAACTAAGTTTTCTGTGTCTTTTTCAATACTTGCAAATGGAAAATTGTTTACAACTTCTGACTTTTTCAACAAGCATATTTAAAGAGATGTGGAGCACATGGAAATAATATACGATGGGAAAACAATATCAAACCGAACAAGGTACAAAAAGGAGAACAGGGGCAAGTCATTGATAATATTGTTGGTACTTTTCTAGTAGCTCGAATGTTTCCTCTTTTTCCGAATGTTACCATTTGTTATGAGTATCATTTCTTGGAAAGGTGATATTTCAGCTTTATTAGGAGCTACTTTTGTGATTCGATTGTAAATCGAATTGCAATACTTTCCAACAACAACTGTTCTAAAGATATCAGTTAAAGAATATAGCAATATAAATTTTATAGTTTACCATCTGCTAGATCCTTCGTATATCAATCTGGTTCCTCATCGTGTTTGCATTAAGAACACCGTAAAAGTCAATATCCACATTTAAGAGAGAGTTTCTTCGTAGTTATAGCACAGTATTAGTGATGATCAAGTGGGACTGCTATAAATCAGTCAGGATGAATCTTCTCAAAATGTCTGCTGGAGAACAATAACAACCAAATTATAGATGTTTCATCGAAAATAAACTATGTTTCCCTGCTTTGAATTTCTTAAGAATCTTCCTTTTTTCTCACTTCTGCTTTTACCAAATCCTTGTCTCTAGTCTTTCATAGTAGCATGATAGCAAGAAGAAGGTTTTCATAGACCCTTATATCCAGTTTTTCCTTAACCTTAAAGTATGTACAATTACATCTTTTTGGTGGTTTTCATCTTTTGGTATTCAAGACCTATAATTAATTACTTTATATACTTCCATGTTATTACAAGGACTCGTATAAAGGATTTGTACATAGTCTTGAGATTCTATATTCTTCGAAGTGTTAGGCAATATCTTTGCACATTACAATGACCACGCTTCATTCACATTTTTGAACATGAATACAACAAGAAAATCGAGATGGAATGATATGGAATAGGAATCGACTATAAGAGCAGATAAGATCATGTCTTAAGATTGTATTATATAATGTGAAGTAGACCTTTTCACCGCTAGGAAAAAAAAAGCATTGTTGAAGGATAGGTTAGAAATAGACATTTGATAATAAGAGTCTGAATCCGACGACAAATAAGTTGTAAACAAGGACAGGAGGTCTTAGCTCTGAGGCAACGACGAGGCAGATCTCTTTTTAATAGCACGTGGCAGTAGGCGCTGCAAAACTATCGGTAACGGTTGTCTAAATATTTAATATCTGGAGAGAAAGACAGAGCAGTGAAGTACTTGTGATATGAACATATTTATCCTGGGACCTTGTCACTCACTGTTTCCATCATCCAATTCTCCAAGGCCATGAGCGCACATTATGTCATTAGTGCATACATAGCCGGTGAACCAGGTGACAACAACAGAAGTACACAAGAAGAAAGGTCAAGAGTAGAGTCGTGGGTGGACTGGAGACTTCCCATCATTTAAGGATCGAGTTCAAGGCCGGGCGAAGCTCGGGGAGATTCCTCAGAGCCTGATGGTCTCCGGATCTGGTTGTCTCCACATAAGGCTTGAAGTGTCTGGAAAAGCGCAACAGCTCAAGGCCGAAAGATGCGTCAAAAAGAAACACTAGTTTTGAGAGTAAAGGATGTGATGTTTCCTTGTCGTGAACTGTACACCATGTAACTTGTGTGCCGCATTTTTGTCGGAGACCCCTCAAACGATGCGAACCGTAAGGATTCCTCGCTATACGGCTTGTAGCTTCCACGTCGCTTTTCTACAATATCAGCAAATATTTCATGACAGAGTGGCATTAGTGTATAGAGTCCAGGTCAGAGATTTCTGAGAGTTCTTTCCATATTTCAGTGTGCATTTTCCGGAAGTATATCATCATGTCTTGAATTTCATACGAGAAGTATGAACAAGAAAAGTGTTGAAAATAACGCTTGACCTGCCGAGTCATCATTAACTGACTATTCTCTTTGAACAACCTACAAACCACGGCAAAACTGCTGAGCAGAACACCGGACTTCCAAAGGATGCTTGAATCAGATTCTCATCGGTAGTAATAGTGCTCGGACAATGAATAATTAGAATGTTGTTTCCCCGGAATCCTAAGCCATGCTGGAACCAAAAAAGAACAACTTCTGTGGGTGATTAGTTTCTCAGTAATATCAAAACCCTAGAGAGAGATCATTTTATTTCTCTAGGACGTTCAAACCTTCAAATCTCCTGCCCTTCGATCAATTCCTTACGTTTGAGCGGTACAGAGGTGGCACAGTGAAATGGTCTCAGGTCTTGATTTTATTTGACTGAAGTTCGTCCTTTCCCCAAAGAACGTCATGCTGGCAGCCGTTCTGTAAGGATTAGATTTTGAATGCTCTTTGGCAAGTTTATCACTGACTTCAATATCAGTGCTGTTGAGTTCTCCACATGGTTAGGTGATGCAATATTCACATCATAATCGGCCAGTGGTTCCATACTTGCTTGACTGCTCTTCATGCCAGCAAATGCGTCTGATCAAGATTGAAACTCGAAGTTGCATCTAAATCTCCCGCATGCTCAGCGCTCATTCATGAAGTTTCATCGACCAGTCGAAACATGACGATCGCCGATCGAGTATTGCAAGTAGATAAATCCATCGCAGCTATCTGGCAAACCGAAGAACGCATTCCCTATTCTATGAATCCAGCCGGACGTTACCTGAATCAGCCAGAGCAGGTGCCAGATTCCACATGGATAGCGTCCAGTCCAAGTTGAAGTCTCTATCATCCCTGGAGACGTGCAAGGCTAGTACAGGGCACCTTCCTCGTACCGAGGCCTGTCACTTAGACATATTTAACAAAGAACAATCTTTGTTGATAACTCTCATGGTATTTGACACGAACTTTGAAGCATATCGAAACACATCTTTCTTGCAGTCGTCACCCTTCAATCTCTTAAGCGTACTCAGGTTTGGTTACACACAGCAATAGAGATCCTAGTGGCAAAATGTATTTATGCAATACTCCTCGATTATCTTATAAAACACGTCAAGGTCTCGCGCTTAGCCGGGGCTCGTATTATAGAGGCTGCAAATGTCCAGGGCCTTTGCACGTGCGAAGGAGGAATGTCGCCAAAACGGACATCGGAAACTTGATTTGGCCTCTAGTGTGCGAGGAGAAGAGTGGCACTTGTGCGCAGGCAGGCGGGCATCCGAGGAAGGTGTAGCTCTGTGGACCCAAACCCAGATACAGTAGGTTTCTGGACTTTGCGGAGGTTCTGGGCTAGGCAGCAGACTTTACTTTCCGAGGCACCTTGACACCTCGTACGTCGTCGGCGGCCTGTGAGATTCATGCAAGTACCCTATGGGGGTAGCAGGTCAAAATTCTGCAATACGAAAAGCCGACGAACACCAACTCCGCGCTGTCATTTGGCAAATCTCGAGTCTCGAGTGCAAGGAAGGCGCGCGCGCGCACCATGGAACAAGACTCAGGAATTTACTCCACGACACTGATTTGGAAGTATCATAACGCACGTCACTAAAGCTTGCGGCAAGCTTGGAGCACATGTAGAATATTGGCGAGCTGAGTTGTTGAGACGGCGGCAGTAAGTTGCCGTAGCAGTGGAAATCCCCGGAAGGCCGGAGCACCAAATACCACATATTCGATAGAGTCGGTACTACGTCAGGAGCTAGACGCTCATACGGTCGTCCTTTCTCGATGGTCATACAGATTTCGATCAGACCACACATCCGTCAGGTCTCACGAATGAATAGCTCGTGAAGAGCTCGTGGCTCAACAACTTTTGCCACTCAGAGGTTGTGGCCGTGATCAGAAAACACCGACACTGGTACAGTAATTGGGCACATATACAAGCAGGAGTGGATCCGTGATTCATCCCAGTGCGATTGTCACCGGAATCAGACAAGGCCGTCATTCATGGGTCAGGAGAGGCTCGGCTCATTCATAGACCCCCGAGCGACTGGACCACACCACATGTCTCCATGGTTTGCTGCAGCTTTTCGGCCCGTCAAATTCCCTTGCGGTACTCCAAGTAAGCAGGCTCAAGGCTCAAGCATCCGTAAAATTTGGGACCATGGAAACGTCTTAGCTGAAGGCGCCCGAAGTCCAAGTATATGCTTATTCTCTCCTCAAGTACATTTGTTGAACAGCAGGAATTTCCTTCACCTTTCCTTCAGATAATGTTTTGCGAGCTTACCCTTCCCAAACTTACTTGTCGAAGTGGAAGTTCTGCACGTCACAGAAACCCAGCCATCTCCACCACTGACGCGCCAGCATATGAAAGACAGCCCTGTGTTTCTAGAGTCCAGTGGAGAGAGAGGGATTTAGTGGACTGCTGCTTAAGCAGTGCGTTCGGCGCCGCAGTCGCAATAGGGCGGTTTAGTCAGCCAACGGACGGAAACAGCAGCACAATACGACCACCCGTCACTGACATCGATACGCAGCATCAGGTCGTCGACAATTTCAGAATCTTCCATTCCTGCGCAATCATTAAAGACGATTATTGGTTATGACTGATATTGTAGAGCTAATCATATCGCCACCATCGGCGTTCTCATCTGCAATTTAGAAACTTCCATCTGACTTTACGCAACCTCAAAAAAAGCTACACATCATCACTGATAATGACCCCACGTCATGACCATCACTATTGACTGACATACGAAACACCAGCCTTCCTCCTAGTCTTGTCCATCGGTATCTTTAAGGCTTCTGAATAGCATACTCCGTTATTGTAAGTCAAAACTCGAGTGGAGTGACCAACAATGACCCCCATTCTACACAAAATCTTCTATATTTACACTGTACAATCAGCCATCACGTCAACAATGAAAAGTAGAGGAACAAGGTAAGGGCAAGACCATAGCGTTAGCAGTGCAAGTCCGAATACTAGAGGCACGTCCTACCTGACTGGCAGTTACGAGTAACCAAATTCGCCTTCTTGCAGAAAGGCAAAAAACGGAAGTTATAGGCTTCTTCCTCGTCGATAATCCAACACAGTAAGGAAATTCCAAATGTAGAAACTACGAAGTCTGCAAGGAGAATGATCTAGGTACTCAGCTGTAACTGATAGTCAAATTTCGGCAGAAATGCTTTCCATCTCTTGAGTGAGCTGCTAGACACTTTGAGAGCTCATATGCCCTTGATATTCTGACGCTGAAATTAGTGTCCTGACCACTCACTGTGCACAGACCTCATAAGCTCGTCCGGTTTTGTGGTGTAACAAGACAATGCCGATTATCATACGATACGAATACTCTACAACAGGTCTTCATGAGGAATGTAGCTTTCAAATCAGCGACCGATATGCTCTCAAGTTTCTTAGGAAAACATGGACCAAAAGTATCTGTCAGTTGAACATGGAGTTCCTTGATAATGTGGAGGAATATTATGCACTTAGATAATGAAAGCATTTTACAAAATCCTTCGATTCGCAGGGCTTTGATTCTACCCTTGAACTTTCGGGATGGATAGTCTTTGTACGTCACGCACGACGTCGAAGAGTTCAGTAGAAGGATGGGCGATAGACATTCCATAGCCCGGTCGGATAATGCTCGACGAAGGCGCTTGAGCTCTGGCCGCAAACCCCTGGTCCTTGGCTCTCACCAGTAGCAGTGAGTTCCGAAGTTGAGTCGAGAGTAGACATTAGGATCGTCTTCGTAATGGAGAAGCCAGCAATTCAACTCCTTCCTCCGTGTGAGTTTGGCTTGGAAAAAGTGAGTGTCATTTGAGCATAGAACATACGTTCATAATTCCACAGGACGTGCTGCTGTAGGTGCATCAGAAGATCACCTCGAAGTATGTTCCGAGTACTTCAAATATTTCTGCGTAAAATACTTGCACTGTGATTCAGCTCTCTCGATTCAGCTCGGATTATTGGTTTTGCACAAGATATCGAGTCTTTTGAGATTTTGAATCACGATCTTCCCCTTAAATACTTGCATTGTGAATCAATTGATGTATATGTGCCGTCGAATGAAGATGTTTCCTCCACACTGACCATCAAACGAACAGATCACCATTTAGTCTCACAACCATTCAAGGAAAGTCGACATTCAGGAAATCTGATCCTTGAGCGGTTCCATGTCTGTCCTTGGAGTAGAGAGAGTTCAAGCTTTTGAAGTGGTTTTCTCCTCGGCCACCGTTTAGCTTTAAGATAAACTTCTGTGTTGGACAGACATTTCGATTGTCGCGAGAGTATGAGGAATGTCACTTATGAAAAATGAAAGTTTTGATCTTTTGCCAATCACCACAACTGCAAAACCAGATAAGCTTTTTTTTTGATATTTTTGAAGTATAGCACTGGCCACGCTGTATTTAAAACTATGGAAACATTGTTCCTAAAATATTTAAGATAGAATGTAGTCACATGTCCAGTTTGTTAGTATTTTACTTATTCTCTGACGAACATGTTAAAACTATTACTTTGTTTTATATATATCTCAAACGCTAGAATAAAATATGTGATTACTTTTATAGCTTGGTTGTTCTTGTTTCACATGCTATCTAATAACATAGATGAATATCCAATACAACTTTAATTTTGTGCGAGAACTATATCTTTCTTCAAGTACACAATGACAAACAAATAAAATCAATGTGGTTTAAAATAATGAAAATAAGTTAAAGGAATCACAGAACTTTCCTGAAAACCATGATTATTTAGATAAGAATTACTTTGAGAACTTTTATACACTAGTTTTCTTATCACACTAACATTTATCAAACTAGCTAGAGTAAACCAAGATGTCAATCAACTCTTGACAATCTTCCTTCAACTCATGTTTTAGAAACTGTAATGTCTTTAACCAATGTGGATATTTTGCAAGAAGTATTCAAAAAAATCTGACATGAATTTTTAATAAACCAAAATTAATTAAAATCACATGTAAATTAATAAAATAAAATAAAAAATAAAAAAGTAATTATATTTAGAAAATGACTTTTTTTTAAATTCATGTTTTTTCTATGAAATAATATTTAAAATATCATAATATTTTGTTTAGAAAATTTTAAAATCATTTAACTCAATTGATTTTACAATGAATGTTGAAATATCAGTCTTTTATATAAAAAAAATAGCATATCTTGAAAATTGATATATGATCCCAATGTTCTTTATCGCAGTGTTATCATTTCACTTGTTGCAAAATGTAATATACCCAATCTATCATAATGAAGATTTACAACATTCAGCTTTATTCTTATCTCATTGATAAATCTATACAAAAAATAATATTTTCCCTAGTACACATTCAGCTTTCAGGTTTTATATAAAATATGAATTTCTTAAATTAAAATTTATAATGTTAATAACAAATTTATTCTTAAATTAAACTTAAATATTTTAGTGTAAATACATATAATATTGTAGTTTTATTTAGACAAAACTTGTTTATAGTCAGCATGAACAATCTGACATCTGTAAATTGTACAATAAATCCTTCAATTAAGAAAATCATAAACTTTTAATTATTTTTGAGTCATTAAAAGTATACTTTTAAGTTTTAAATACATTTGTACTAATTTTACCATGTATATGCTCAAATTGTTCAAAGCTAACTCAATGTCAAGTCTAATGCTGGTCACTACCTGATTAGAATAAAAAGTTTGACAATTTTTCACTGGATCAAGATTTTTTGAGTCAATTGTAATTTTATGCCAAAAAATATAACTTTTTTTATAATTAGACATGTTAAATTTGTCAAAAACAGGTTTTATAAACTTGCTTTCAACTCAATTAAATTTTTCTCTTGATTAACTTTAGAAATTCATACATAATATATTCTTCATAATTTAACCAAATAATATTTTTTTGAATGTATATTTCTGCTCATTCTGAATTCTTACATGTATGAGTGTCAAGTTACTCTTTAGTTCATTTTCTCGGAGTTTAAAAAAAAAAAAACATGTAGAGATTTAAAAAAAATATAAACCATATCATCTTCAATATATCGATATTTTGAAAACTACAATTAACTTTCAAGTTTTGAACCAATCGTTACATTTGAAAAAAGTAACTTGTTCAAGCTTATTGACAAAGCTTTGATTTTTTAAAGAAAAAATTAACTTTATTATTTTCTTAAATTAACTTATTGTTATACATATCTCCATTGTCAATAACATAAATATCACAACTAGAACAAAAATTTAAATTTGTATAATAAATCAAAAAAATAGATAATCAAAAAAATTTGAAGTTTGATACAATGTCTTGAGTTTCATTAAAAGATACTTCAATGTATGTACATGTAAAAATTACAACTGAGAGTATGATTGATCATTATAAATCTAATGATCATTTTATTAAGAATTTTTTCGTGAATGGAAATTTTTTCTTGTAAGTAAAAAGAGATGGTAATATGATATGCTCTTTAAACGATTTTAGCTTATAAAAAAAAAATCTTATAAAAAATTTAACTAACAAGTTATTTGATATCATAGCCTATAGGCTTTTTCAACACTTGCATGTTTAAAAAACACTTTTTGCATGTAAGTTTCAACTTGGTCATATTTTTCTTAGATATGAGAGCATAAATCGATCATGAAATATTTTAAATGATTATGAAAATCAATTCTTCTTTGCTTCAATTTGAAAAATTCAAATAATAATAAAAATTAAAGATAGAAAACTTATCAAATATAATGTGGTTATAATGTATTCACTCTTAATTTTGTATAATAAACAATTTTTTTTCACTCACAATGCATTCCTTACAATATATTTTAATTGTAACTTTTACATATATATTTTTCTGTAGAATATAATTTGTGATGTGATGAAAGTTTAATCCTTGATATAGCTTGAAATTTATATTTATTTTCATCATAAGAATGTAGATTTTTCATTTTGAGAACTAGTATAAGTTTCAACTTGGATTCTCTTTTTTTTTTTAACTTAACGGATTTCAAAATTTTGCATATAATATGTATTCACAAATACCTTGAGTAGTTAATATTTTTAGGTAGTATTTAATCAATATAATTTACTAGAAAGTAAATTTAGTATGAATAGTTCAAGAAACCTCGTTTAGAAGGGGAGTATGTGACCCCTAAACCAGCTTGCCGAGAAGATCTTAAACAAAGATACATTGAAAATAGCTTGTTAATTTGATCGGTAGCTGGTCCCAAGATAACAAAAGTGGGAACAAGGACAACCTTGGATCCAAGTCCAGTTACATAACTCAAACATTATGACTTGAATTTGATGTAAAAATCTGTCATGGTTGAAAGGTGTGATGATTAGGATTTGAACCCTAGTGCTTACAATAGTACATATAAATTTGAATCTGTGATATTTGAACTGAATTTCACTGAAATTTATCTTTGATGATATTTTGATAACTCATCAAGCAAGACGTTGTTTCTCAATACGTGTATTGAGAGATTATTTCATACAAGATTTCCACTCATAACTAGATGTGATATTCAAAAAACGTTTAAATGTACTTCATTAAATAAGCTATTTATTGATGAAGTAAAATCACACCAAAAAGTAAATCAACTTGTCTGAGAGATATTTTTTATTTTTCATATAAATTAGAATAAAATATATCACAAAAAATAATAAAAATAACTACGTAACTCATTATTATTAAATTTAATCTAATTTTTCTCATTATTCATCAAAAAAATTATATGACAATACGTCATTGATCTACGTGAAATATTCATATGCTTCATTTTTTGTATATTGACATGACGAGACATTATTGAAAATCTTAAAATTTTAATAACATCTTAAAATCTCAACTCTTCATTAAATCAAAATTAGTGCTTACTCTAATCAATCAAGTCACTACTTTTAATTAAAGCAATCAATTATTAACATGTAGTCACATAAATCCATGATTTGATATGTTAACTTCAATAAAAGACAAAAATATATTTTTATGCTCACAAATTTTGAATTTATTTTAATATTTCTAAGTAAACATTTAATAACTTAGCTGAGTCATGAATAAAATAAATTTAGCCAAATTTTGGATTAATTAAATAATTTTCTAATATTTATATTTATATATCAAGATAT